ATCACTATGGACCCTAACCATCTCATGGTCTGCATGTCATCCACTTTGACTCACAGGTCGAACCTTTGGTAAGCTGTAGAGTTGGGTGCTGCTACAAATCACAGCTTTCTCTCCAAGAACGTCCTGCCATGTCCTACCTGATCCAGATCGATGAGCCATGGGCCTTGGAAGGGATGCTGCTTTGCGTGGTGCGCCGCTAAAATGCCTTCTAGTTGCTTTTGATCCGAGAGCATAGGATATCTTTGGAGGGCCACGCCGATGAAAGAAACAATCTAGATATCTGGGGTCTATTTTTAACTTTTTAGACATGCTTTGACGTGCGGGTGAAGTGGAGGGGATGAGATATGGAGGCTGCTACTGCGCGTAGCTTCTTGCTCACAGTCTTACGTGCCTGGCGGTCGGTGGACGGTGTCATGGCGCTCATTGCGAGCCCACTGGATGGTGGGATGGCGGTTGAGCATCCGTTGAGGCTCAAGCTGAGTGCCACCTGCATGAATTATGTTGGCCTATCGTATCACAATAAAGACCAGGTTCTAGATCGATCGGAGGCTCTGTAGATTTGTCATTGACCGATTATAAGGCTACTGGCTGTGGCTTGGCGATCCATGGTGTTGGCATCAAGACCTACATCGAAGAGTAATAGCCACAAATCTTGAATAGGGATGAGTCTTTGATGCAAATTCAGCGGACATGATTTTCCGTTATATAGTTGATGGATATTGAATTCAGGCTATAATCTTCGGGGGCCCGAGGACAAATGGATCATTGTGTGGAGTTTGGACGAGGATGGAAAGCCTTTGACATATGTCAGATCGAACTCTGGATATCCCTGCACCCTGATTTTCTAATCGTAGCTCATCTTCAGGCGGGGGTGTTTGAGAATGGGTTTGTTGGATATGGCATGCCGAGGGTGCCTTTGTCTACTGCAATGCAGTGCACAACTTCCATGCGGAGCTGCGCCATGTGCGGGGTGGCAAGAAGAAGATGAGATCAGTTTGGCTAATCATTTGGTACCTGCATGCTTCTCTTTGTGTATCCCAGACCAGTGGGGTGGAAGAGTCTGGGCTACAATCATGGTACATGCGGCTTCCTGGGTGCAAACAGTGAAGCTTGCAACTGTGTACGTGCAACCATTGTATCGTGCAAACCCTGGCCTTGCTCAGATTATGCGCCAGCTGCTGCCGATGCTGGTCACTGAGCCGCCGCGCGTGTGGCAGTGAAGCACGTCTTGAGTGAGAAAACCACAGCTTGAGCGGGGCAGCTTGAGGGTGGCTGGCAGTGTGATCGAGCACCATGTCACCATGTGGTTCAAGTAACTCTGATGATACTTGAGGGACAGTAGCTGCGCGTTAATTTCAACTTTCTTTGCGAGTAGGTTTGGACCTTAGTCCTGCCCAGGGAGGCCTTGAAACCCAAACACCTTCAAAGAAGGTATACGTGAGCCCACCCCAATCCACCCGCCGCCACCAAATGGGGAACTTGCAACGCGCCAGCCCTCTTGGCCGTCTTGATTGTGGCCTTTGTCCACGAGGTGTCACCTAGCTTTATTGGTACCTGCTGTTGGTCGTTGGCCTGGATTTTCTGATGTGAAGCCGCTTGAGATCTCAGTGTGTTGGAGATGTACTGGTCCCAGGTTTCGGAAACACATTTACATAATTTATTACATAGTACAGTATATTTATGTATGTTTCCATTCATATACATATACCACCGGTGAAGCTGACGCTGACCCTTTTTTCACCTTGTAAGACTCTGCCCAAAACAGGAGAAATCAACTTACACAGGGGTTGGACGATGGATTACACGCCCGCCGGTGATGATGAGGGTACATGGACTATCCACCTGAAAGAGGTGCATGTTGTTTGCCCTGGGCCAGTGATCACAAATGTCAGTTTTTTGTTGTTTGTTGTATATTTTGTAATACATCATATAACCCTTTCTATTTCGACCGCGTTTCCGCTACTTTGCCCTTCCGCTACTTTTCCAAAAAACACTAGAAACGGTCGGCAAAAAACGTTGTCGCTATAGAATCATGATGTTGTTTTACATTAAAAGTACTGAACTGCGAAAGGTGTTCAAGGTATACGGTATACCCATCATTGAATCTCAACTTGCGTTCATTGTGCTGAACAGCAACTGACAAATTGGGGTGGTTTTCACACAGCGCTACGCTAGCAAATGAAACCGATCTAAGGACTCAAAAAACTGTTAACGATTGTTTGTTGTTGCGAATTCAGGCTGCATGTTGATTGCAACCAAGAGACTGTCAACCACACGTAGACTTTTGGTGGATACCGGATCGCGGATCCACAATGATCCGCTCCTGGTTCGAATAACTAGCTTGTAATGGTGATCCACAAAAACCTGCACCAAAGGTGTATAATCTAACGGTGGCAAGTTTGTGAAATATATGCAAAGAGTTGCGCAAGGATGCTTCATTGCAGGTGCAGGGTGCACGGTTTCTGTTTATTTGTCCGTCAGCAGTAATTTGATTTGTACCATCCCACTAGGAAGCACTATCAAGCTTTGAGATGCTCCTGATCTACCTTTTAACATGTTTCAAGAGTTTTTACAAAGAAAACACACGTTTGAGCTGAAACTTACGTTTGAGTAGCAAATTGTTTAGAACAGTCAAAATAATCGAGAACCAATTCTAGGAGGTACCTGAACTAAGACTTTTCAGACATCTCGTGATGTGCATTTTTGGTTTGGGCTTAATATCTTGCAGCAAGACAGCCAACACAGCGCAGTGTTACAGATGTTGCTCCTGGAGAAAGAGCAGGGCTGTTATATTACTCTATGTAATTACGTCAAATGTGTGGTACCCCCAATCCACAAAAGATAAAAAACACTTCAACAACACAGTTCAATAAAATATAACATAAAACATCAATATTAAACTTAGGTTATTCTTGGGGGGAGCTACCCAAAATTGTGGCCATACCAAACCCAAGCTCCGCTGCAGAGCTGAGGTTCGTGTCCAGAGGCATGACACCAATCGGTGTGCGAGGGCCAGCGAACCTGTCGCTGAGTATCCAAATTATGGGCACCTCGGATGAGACGACGTCGGCAGATGAGATAGGGCCTAGGGCTCGAAGTCATATATGTGCCTTTTTGGGGACTGGTAAGTCTAGTACTTGTGTTGTTGGCGTGTCTTTTGTTTAAACGAGATTGCACTGACGCAAGGTGGCGGACCTAAATTTCAATTCTTATGTGGACCACCCGGAGCCCTGAACCAGAAGCTTTGGCAGATTTTGAACCAGCAAAAAAAACGGTCATCGTCACCGCAATGCCGCAATGCACTCCAAACGCTAAGGTTTCTTTCGAAAAGTGAATCGTGTGGAAATTCCTGGCTCCACCGGGCTCCACCGTTTTAGATGTATCGAAGCGAGGCATGTTGGAAGTCACAGGCTCGAGGAGCGTTACCCACTGATATCATTTTTAAATGTATTCATCTCCAAGGGTGTCCTCACCCTGTACATATGAAAAACATAGAAGACAGTCTTCCCCAGTAAAAGCCGTCCTCCTCCTCCTCCTCCTGCACATCACCACCATCATTGACCGTTTCAAGTTGTTCAAGCAAATCAGACTTCAGAACCAAGACGAAGACAAGGAAGACCTCGTCATCACAATATACAATGATGGTGTAAGCAGTTGAGACTGGCAGAGTCAGCAGAGTCTCTGTGCCGCACAAGGGTAATGTTGGATCTTGATTAGTAAAAGAGATCCCCCCCTCAAACAAATGAGGGAGTCTCTATTTAAAAAACTACCACCAAAACAAATCTGGGTTCCTAGGAGGATTCCTTCTGTAATTGATTGTAGTATTCATTTTCCTTTCTCTCTTTGTAGTAGTAGTTGTTGTTGTTGTAGTTGTAGTTGTAGCAGTAGTAGTAGTAGTTGTAGTAGTAGTAGTAGTAGTAGTAGTAATAGTAGTTGTAGTTGTAGTAGTTGTAGCAGCAGCAGCAACAGCAGTAGTAGTAGTAGTAGTAGGAGTAGCAGTAGTAGCAGTAGTAGTAGTAGTAGTAGTAATAGTAGTTGTAGTTGTAGTTGTAGTGGTAGTCGTATCAGCAGTAGTAGTTGTAGGAGTAGCAGTAGTAGCAGTAGTAGTAGTAGTAGCAGTAGTAGTAGTGTAGGTGTAGTAGTAGTAGTAGTAGTAGTAGTAGTAGTAGTAGTAGTAGTAGTAGTAGT